TGAAATTTGTTTTCACTTTGACATGGATCTTTTTTGCAAATTCTTTTTTAAAATATCTAAATTATTTTAACCAAGTTTTAATGTTGAAAAGCAATAAAATGAGAACACTTCCACTGGGGGGGGGGGACTGTAGCACACAATGCATTTTGTACTCCATACACTGCTGTGCATACGTATACTATTAGGACGGTCCATGCAGAGCGCTTTCGATGAGCTCACAGACTCCAACATTGCTGAGCAAAGTCTATTAGATTATGACTTGGATATGCAATCAGCCGATATTGAATAACCTCGTGTCACAGATTGATAAATGCAATACACGTGAGGAGCCCCCTTGCCAGACACTGGAGCTTCCATTGTTAAAGAGCCAGCGTAGCACTGGAAACACGAATCTGTTTTGTAATCCATTTAAACCAATAAAGCATTTTAGTAGAAGGTGTCAAACCTGCTGTCAAATCTGAACATTCAGCAGACATAAATGACAAATAAATATGTTTTGTGGAGTCATTTTTATGTCATATTAGACAACAGACATTTACATAACAAATCAAAAATCATTAACTTTTGTTCCTGATTTCTGAGCATCTCCCCTCCCCTTTTTTGAAGAAAACTAAGTGAATGATACTCATGCAGGATTGTCTGTGTGAAACTATATATATATATATAGGAGTCAAACACTTGTCCAAGGATACAATATCAAGTACTTATGAAGAAGCGTTAACACAGATATTATACTCCATCTCAAATCAAATACTGTCGTCCATGTTTGCTAAAAATGTGTTTACATCCTCTTTGAAACCCATTTTCACAGCATCTGCTATGAGGGTACAGCAGTTTCCACAGAGCAGAGAAAGACTGAAAAACTGTGACATTCAAATGGTTGCCCATTTAGAAATCTAAATAAAAGACAGTCAGCTTTGTTCTGTCTCCAGTTTAATGCTGCTAGTGAAGGTTGTTAAAAAAATACATGGAAAGGATATAAAGGACACAAGGAAGCTGTCTGTTGAGAGACGGCTGTGTTCAGTGAAGCAGAATGAATGATACGTGCTAGATCCTGGATTGATTCAGTGACAGACACGCAAGGAAAAGGAATATGTCACTACATGAAGAAAACTTCCCCTAGGAGACTTTTCAGACTTTTAGAAACCTGCAGATACCCCATACTGTCTACCTTCGATTTCTCCACGACACAAGGATAAACCCTCGTCACCATCCAGGAGTGCCTACCTGTGAAGCTGCTTTGGCTGCTGTAGGTGGTCCGGCCCTGAGGTTGCGTCTGTGGCTGGGGCTGAGGTGGAGTTTGGGGTGCCGGAGAGGTGAAGAGAGCCTGAGGCGTGGAAGTGAACGCTGGATTTGGTCCTGGTGAGCCATTAGGTGAAGCTGCCTGGGCCGGGGCAGGCGGGCTGACGATGGGTTGGGACTGCTCCACCTGGGGCTGTCTGAGGGTCTGAGCCTGTGGCGGGGATGCTGGTTGCTGCCTCTGGGTGGTGGTGGGTACCTGAGCCAGAGGAGACTGCTGGAAGGTAGGAGGCTGGAAGGCCTTGTCTGGGGTGGAGGAGCTGCGGGTGATGGGAGGGCCCAGGAGTGCATCCAGGTGGGGGCTACTGCTTAGTATGGAGGAGGAGGATGAGGATGGGGGCGTGGCAGTGGCGGCTGGCGGGGCTGCTGGGGTGATGGTCTGGGTCAAACCAGGAATCTCTTGGGTGGAAGGAGCCGATGTATATGGAGAGGCATCAAAGAGTCCACCAAACTCCATGTCCTGGTTGTTGATGAGCTGTAGCATGTCTGAAGAGGAAGAGGAACCACCATCAATGTTACTGACCAAGGAGAAAAATGCACAAGAGTCTGCTAAGACAACGTAACCAGGACAACCAAGAATCAGAGAAACTGGACTGTGTTGATGGTTTAACAGTTTGGCTCTGAAAAAAACGTAGGAGCCTTTTTATGTGCATTAGTAGTTACTCATGCATCAACCTCTTTGTATAGTTTATGATTAAAACCGATCAAAGAGAACACTCAAAAAGCAGATACTGTAGTGCAATGAGGGAAAAGAATGCAGCATCTTCCCCTCAGCCAGCTGATGCCGAGCTTATATAGAAAAAATGTCCCAAACAGTCACTGGGAAAAATAGGGAACATTTTTTGTTCTTGATTTTAGACTAAGACTGACTTTATTAATCCCAGAGGGAAACTCAGGTGTTACAGCAGCAGGACTATTCAACAAAGGGGGTAAACGAAGCAAAAAGACAACACAAAATATTAGGGTAGGGTATAAAATGAAGGTAAAATAAAAGGAGATAAAGTAAGATAAAGAAAAAATACAGAAAATATAATATAGAAGAAAGTCAACAAATTTACAAGAATATATAAGAGAGAAAATATGTCTTTGCTTAAATATATATATTAAATATGTCTTTGCTTAAATAAACAAAGACACCAAATTTGTAACTTAACACAAATGATTGTGGCTGCTGAACAACTGCTAAACAAATGTCTGTATCTCTGTTTTTCTTTTCTTTTAACACTTGAACACTACTCAAATAAATAAAAATATCTAGTTTACATATGGACACACAGTTCAAACACAAATACACCTCACATGTAAAACTGCTGCTGGAAACACGCATATTGTACATTTTGCATTTAATGTTTAACAACCTCCGTGTTTTCAGGCTATTTGCAGTGTTTCTGCAGCTGTGGGGCAAAAACGGTGACAAACATTTATCAGGTAAAACTTCATCATAGTCTCGCTGCTTGATGCGAACTTAACAGGAAACATTTTCCATTCGAGCTGCTCCTGTGATGCTCCGAGAAACAGCAAAACAAACGAGACAGCAAAGCGCTCGTCGGTTTATTCGAAGCAATGCGATGCTCTGCTTTCAGACTGGCACATAACAATAACACATCCTCACAGGGAATATATTGGAGGAATAAGTGGCGCTGAGTGCATGTTGTGTCTGCAGACGGACGCAGCAGGCTGGATTTGTAAACCAGTGTTGTGGATGAGGTGATCGCTCTTGACCAATCAGAGCGCGTCTCAGAGACTTGCTATGCCGATCAGCCCAAGACAGGAAAGAGAGGGAGAGCTGTCTGCTCGGGGTTACCAGCGAGCAGCGTCACCGAGGGTTACTGTCGGTCACATTTTGGGAGATGGCAAACATGGCCGTAGGACATGCATTACAGAAGACACCGCAGCTTATCATATTTACACGTTGGCTATTACAAAACACACACCGGACATCACACGGAGATCACGAGACCACTAAATATCCAGACACGAGTCCTCATAAACTTGCGCTTCCTCTAGTTTAGTTAGAGCTTTCTCTATACTCCACATGCCCACAACTTGAAGTGATCACAGCAGAAACAACTAAGCAGCTGCGCATTCATGCACTGAGCTTTAACCGCAACACACGTGTAAAGCACTATGTGTTTGCAACAAAAATAGGAAATATGTCTTTCTAATATTCTGTTGTTTTGTTTATTATTAAGACAAAAATCATTTGTAGAGTTTGTCAATACGGTCAACTGAGGCTCTGTGAACCCAGCTAAGAGGAATGAACGGCAGTAACCCCTGTCTGTGCAGCAAGCTGGGGGCGGGGCGCGCTCACGACCACCTAGCCGCACGTTAGCCTCGCCGATTAGCTTAGCTAGCCCGCTAAACAACAACAAAAACAGTTATTTTTATAGTACGATACGATTATAGCAGAGGTTCTGCAAGAAACAACTTTGTTAACGCCTAAAAGGACCGCCTAGCATCAGCTTAGCCACCCTCCAAACAATGCTTGCTAGCTTAACGGCTAGCTAGTGCAGCTAGCTAGAGATGGCTGATGAAAGATCCGCTGTGAGCTAATAAAAGCTTCACGTTGGTCACTGCCAGTGCTGTGTGTTAGTACAAATGAGGCTGTTACTCTAAATATTAAATACAGAACAGGAGAGAGACTACTAAGCGAAAGCACAACCTAGCATGAGGGGGTACGGTAGCCGGTTCAGCTGTTTCGTTAAATGGTTAGACAGCAGCCACCGTTATATTTTCTTACCATCAATGTCGCTCAGGAGGGCCGTGTCAATATCGCTGGGGTCATTGAGCGACAGTGTTGGATCCAGATTGTCCAACGAAGGATCGTCAAAGGACAGGCTGTTCATCTTCTCTCTTGTGTCTGGTTTCCCAGTGTAGACTTGGCTGGCTGTCGGATCGCTCAGGAGGAAAAATCGGAAAGTTCCTACATTTGACAAAGCGCCGGATCCCAAAGTGTACTTGAAACACACGCAAAACGAACCGCAACTTTTTTCACCGATGTGTCAACTAACTACTCACTCCTACCCCCCATGATCGTCCAGGGAAACTTGTCAAGCCAAAGCCAAACACTGGTGCTCATTGAGTACTAACGTGCTTACGGCGCTAGCCGGAGGAGCGCCTCCAACAGACGATGATTGACAGATCCGCCAGCCAATCACTGCCCTCGAAGTGAATTCCCACGTTTCTGCCTGTCAGTGTTGTTTTGGTGGTTTGACTGAAGAGGTGCAGCATGAGGAGGACAGGGCCGTGATTTTATACAACAAAACCAAATAAAACACGGTTACTAACATACTACGCTACTAAAACAATGGCTCCAGAATTTTTAAAGGAATCGATTTGAAACGTATTCTTAAAAGGGTATCTATTTAGCCCAAATCTAATATATTAAACACTAACAGCAGCTCTGTTTATTCCAGCCATGGACAGCTATGATAATGAAGCATATATTTCACCAAAGTGAGTATCCTGAGGGAAACAGCGTGGATGTGTTTATTGTGGGTCTGCCTCCCGACAGCCAATGAGAGTCGTGGTGGGCGGGAGCTTTGGGCAGTCAAGTTAGTGTGACTCGAATGAGCGGCTCCTCCTGTAGAACCAGTGGAATCGTCCAATGGGAAGCGCGGAAACCGAGTGGGGTGATCCGACGTCACATCTCTGGGTCTAGTGATTACATCATGTGTTTCTCTCCCTGCTGGAATGATGGCAGCAGCAGGGACTCAAGCTGGAGGGACGCATGCGGCCAAAAATAATCAGAAAAACAGGCTAAATGTATGTTACATTTAAATAATAATGATATTAATCATAATGATATTAATAATAATAAAAAAACACATTTCCCTAGGAATTTTATGTCTAATTTAACGTTTTCCAATAAACAACAAATGAATTATTAACGATGTCAACTTTTTTTTTATATATATACATCAGTTAAAATAAAACTATTACATAAACACAATGTCACACTAAAACAAGGGGAGAGCTCCACAAAGGCACCCTGGGGAAATAGGTCAGTGACCTGGAGTAGCACTACAAAGTTGTTGTCAGTAGGGGAGTGGAGCAACACTGAAAAGCCAGTATTACTAGTGATGATGGACGTTATTATAAAGGTGTACGTCTGCTTTATATGCTGGCTCAGTTTCAGAAACCTGGCCAGTCAGTAGTGCTAATAATGCTGGTAATAATACATACAAATAGCAAGAACAGGATTTGTTTACAGTTTACGGGTGCTAATCTGTGTCCATATGGGATGGAGGGAAATGCTCATGTGACCATGAATGACCAGCACACTGTTAGATTGAGCCCGTGTTGCATCAGCATGTGCATGAAGACGCTGCCACACAACCCCTGAACTGTGGAATAATGACAAACAGTGGTGAGGTAGAGGTCACACATTGCTAGTGTTTTATTGGGCAGTTACATACGTGCATTCGGTCAAATACAGACCTGACCATTAGTAATGGCAGCAGACAGCACAGCCAAACAGACATGGAACGCCCACCGACAACAGCACGAGCCTCTGCTCCATGTCCACACACCAGAGTTAAGGACATTCAGTAACCACGTAGCCAGAATTTCGAGGAATACATGTTGCGATCAGGACTTAAGCTTCATAACACAATACACTCGGTTACAGATCCAGAGATACATGAATACAGAAAACTGCCGAAGCTCCCTTTTAAAGGAGCTCCTGTTACATTTTTGTCTTTGTTCAGTCTGCGCAGTAAAAGGTTTTCAAATATGACACAATGGTTGATTCTAAAAATTAATATCTCAGTTACCTGGCAACCATATTAAACCTACATATCCATATGTAGCCATACAGCATTAAAGAAAATTAAAGCTCGATAGTTATTAATTTTCTTAACTAAAATACATTTAAATATTTAGTCATGTAGTGATTACGTAGACACAAGTAAGTTTTCAGTGTCACCTTTGCATCTATGTTAACAAGAATATTAAACACTTTCCTCTAGTAGAAGGCCCATACTGACAATGGGTAATTCACCTATTTTGACGCATGAGTAGGATTTTACAACTTGGAAGGAGACTCAGATGTGCCGCCTCTGATTAACAAGGCTTTTGGTCTTAAATGGACTGGAAGAAGAAAAGAAAAAAAAATCTCTTAAGTGCAGAGTGAAGTTAAAATTAAGTGAAAGAGCTGGAATGAAGACAGGATTCCTTTTTGCCTCAAAGTGTGATCTTGTGCACATCAAAGACAAACTCCAGTCAGAGCTACTTTGCTGAAATCAGTCAATCACGGAAATGCTTGGCAGCACCTCCAACAGGAGCAGATGAATCGCACCGGGATGAAAACACAACAAGAATGAAAATACACGTTTGCCTGCTCGAATCAAAGAAAGCAGAGTTGTGCTGGTTTGCTGCAAGCTTCAGCCTCAACCACAAAAAGAGCTGCAATGAACCATAAAAATACACCCGGGGATCAAATAATACATGAAGCTCTCTAGATTTCAGATATTTTTATGCACCAGTATACTTCTAGCCAGACACAGAAAGCAAAATTCCTGTATTTTGAGGTATATAGATTAAATAGCATTGAATATTTGAAGATCTGTGAATACATGTTGTCCTTATTGCAAGGTACGTTTGCTTCATTTTGTCGGTTGTAATGCCAATTCTAAGTCATACTGGTCACTTAAATCCCTTTTTTTGACGTGGATTTTTTAAAATTTCTAAAACTTTTTGCAACAGTCCATCTATCCACTTCTATGCGAACAAGCACTGCAACTACACAGTTAGAAAAGTTATGTGCAAAATGAAGTTATCCTAAAGATCATTTCCCATCCCCTAGAAAAATAGTAACCATCTTGTAAACACAAAGGACAAAATAGAGATTTGTTTTTGCTTCAAAGTGCACATTTATGTAACGGGGGGAAGGAAAATGTTCATGGCCCCGTAACACCGAAAAGCACGAATGTCATTATTGTTCGACAGATGAAATTAGGAACCAGTTGGTCATTAAAGCCTTCATATTCTTTGGAATGGCTACGAGTGTTTGTTCAACAATTTTCTCTGTTTATTTGTTGTAGCTTTTCATTGGACTGAAAAGACAAATGGGGAATATTCCATGGGCATGTTCCTTCCCCGTAGCCATGTGGAATACATAAGAGAGGATCCTAACTTTTTTAGATTTTTTTTTGTTTTTTAATTCCCTTTGGTTAGAGGAACGCCGGCATACACAGTTAAAGATTAGCTATGATTTTGCTATTATATTCCTAATGAGCAAAATTAGCCTCCTAATGCGAGTCTTTTCTCTTCAGTGCTTTCGGGCATGTCGCAGTACTGAAAGCCTAACTAGAACTCTTTACTGGAGTATTTGTGGAAATAAAAAAAACATGTGCGTGGACATCATAACCACAGCGCTAGTACGTAGCACAGACAAACAAACCATTAAAAGAATAAATGCATAAATAAGCAATTAGCTGACTGTAGTAAGATAATGGCATGAACTAATTGTATGCTTTTATACTGACTCGATGCACGAACCTGCAGTGAAACTTCCCACTAATCTCGCAGTAATATACCACATTCTGAAACCACACGAGACAAGTCGGATTGTCTTCCTTTGGTGGAGTGTTGCGAATGAGACGCGGGGCTGCGAGTAGTACATCCCACAATAACCGATTAATACATCCATGTATAGTAAAACGCAACACAACAGTGCGCCGTAAACAAGTTGGACCTGTGTAGGTTAGAGCGACGCCGCGGCGAGAGAACAACGAGGAGGTGGAGATCAGTTGCTACACCGCTGCCAGCCAGCGGTGAAATGGTACTGGAAGGACTGTTTGGGGTGGAATCATTCAGGGCGAAGACCTTTAGACGCCCCCGGAGAGATCAGAGTTCTCTGAGAACAGTCTACAAGGCAAAGAGGGCATCTTCCGTCCGCTCGGCCTTCTTCTGGGAGCCACCGGCGGCCCGAGCGGGGTGAGCAGGGTTAGCTCCGGGGGGAGACGGCAGAGTGTCCGCCGCCTTTGCTCGCTCCTCCAGGAACTTATCAAACTCTGAAAAAAAACAAATAGATTTTTCAGAAACGTGTACCGTTGAGGGCCCGCGTTGTATTTTGAATCAGATTCTGTACCTTCACTGGTCACTCCCTCCTCAGCAGCATCCCCTTTCTATCGAGAAGAAAAAAAGTCATAAGAGAATGCTCGTGTTTGGGCAGAAATAATGGACTTTATTTCAAGGCACAGAAATAAACCTTAGTGTGCATCAGCAACACAATACGCTGATGCACCACACAGAACAGTCACAAGAGTCAAGTGCTTGTACAGTTTGCACGTACGAAGTGGCTCAATCATGCATCCTCCCACACTGTCAAGGGCCCCTCCATAACCTCCACATGCACATGTTAAGGAAGACCACTGCAGCTGTCTATTATCGTTAGCAGATAAAAGTCACACCTCATGGTAAACTGTTATATGTCAGTCATTGGTGGAAGAAATTAGAATACAGTGAACGAAAAGGATGTAAAGCAAAAAGAAACCCAAGCCAAACGTGGGCAGTTAAATGGGATGGACGGATGAAATGTGCTATTAAAGAAAAACCAAAAGTAGTAGAGAGAGAAAGAAGAAAAACAGGATATAAATCAAGGTAAAGAAGTCTCACCACGTCAGCACAGAGCCACTCCTCTATGTCATCCATGACAGAGGACTGCGATACGGGGATCTATGGAGCAAAGCCATGGACAAACCGAGGGGCAGCACCAAAGCCACGCCACAGACAGACACCCAACCCCGACCACAAAAACAAAGTGTAACACACACACACACACACACACACAAATAAGAACAGGGATCACCAGAGGCTCAGAGAGGATGATGATAAAAACAAAAGTTAAAAATTAAAACTGATGCGCTCCAAAGATGCACTCAGCCTCTCTCCACTCTGTGCTGTGATTGTCTTATCAAGTGCAGCGATCTGCCACTCAGCAGTCTCCAATGTGAGAGCAGGAGTTCCCACTCGGTGTATTGTTCTCATTAGTTCTGTAGTGCTGACATGGCTTAACAGCTGCCGACTAATGTCACACAGCAGCGTTAATTATTCCACATCATTAGTTAATTAGCAAATCACTCGAACGTGATTAAGAGATTGATTGGATGGAAAAAGCTCAAAGCACAGGGACTGTCGAGAGGCAGGGCAATCCCAGGGCATACACAAACTTTGAGCACACGCACACAACGCACGTCACACAACACGGGGCGCACTGAGCACGAGCGTGGCTGCATGGCGTGCGGTGGTGATGGAAGCCATGTCAGACCGGATGGCGTGTGTTCGTGTGATCACAGGGAACGAGGAGTGCGTTGTGTGAAACTTTTGTGAGGAGCGACGGGGAAACGGGAGAAGTTCCTCATATGCTCTCCGTTTACAAAAGCAGGAACAGGTTCATGAGCGATACTTAAAATTCCTCTCTTCAATATCCTTTTGTTTCTCTCTATGTGATGAAGCGCACATTTGATGTGATATCAAAGTTAATCACAGAGAACAAAACCCTTTTCCTGAGGCTCTGTTGTATGCTACAGAAACACTGGTGGGGTTTTCCTGGTGGGATCACAGTTTATGTTGTGAAGGAGCTTATCAACAGATAGGCCGAGGCAGTGGAGCCATTCACAGGAGAAAATAAAACACATGCAGCTTTGTGAACAGTTGGAGAAAAGGCTGCAGGAAAGAGCACAATAAGAAGTCTGTCCCTGTCATGTTGCACCGCAGTTACACCAATACAAGTGTAATCCATTACATTAAAACATGCATTACATCAACACTGGTAGAAATACTACATCTGTTAGTCCGTTGTTGTAGTTCTGGTTAGAGTGGGAGGTTAATCAATTATCATCTAAGATCCACAGACTATTAGGGGACAAAATTACTCCCCACTACGCAGCAACCCGCCATTCATTTGCTCATATTGTTGTGCTTGGATGATATCAGCATTTTAAGATTGTTGGTGTGACTTTGCTGCGTAGCGGGGGTATCTGCTCTCCTCCGTTGTTTTAGTGCGTGACTGTTAAGAGACGATGGAGCTGATCCTGGAGAACCATCAGGCTCATTATTACGCCTATGAAGCCATGTGGCACCATCAGTAATGAGTACAGTACGGCAGACGTGGGCAATATGGAGTCAGGGCTGCAACGAAGCTTGATTCTAGTTCTTTTCTCGATTAATCGAGTAGTTGTTTGGTCTATAAAATGTCAGAAAAAGTCCAGAATGACGTCTTTAATGCTTTGTTTTGTCCACAACCCAGAGACGAAGTGTTTACTGTCATAGACGGATTAATGGAACAGAAAATATTCAACTCAAAGAAGCTGGAATCGGAATTTTGCCTGAAAAGTCTGATGATTAAATTACTTACATTACCAACTAATTGATTAACGGTTGCAGCTCTAATGGATAAACCCTACGTGTGATCGAGCATCTCTGCAGTAAACCAGACTATTTCAGGATATTCAGCCGCTAAACTGGCTGCAAATTGAATAACGAGTGAGAGTCTCGTGGCTAAACTAACTAATATTTAACAAATACATCAATGTGCAGAAATCGTGCATTAACATTGCCAAAGAGCGGTCCTGATTACTGGCTTACAGTCCTGCCTGCCGCGACCAAAGAACCAGTTCAAAAGATCGCTATCTCAGCAGAAATAGCACATAAAGTGAGCACTGCTGTGCACTGATGTTCTCTCATATTGCCCAAGACTAGAGTACTGTGGCTGAGCGAGGAGGTGGATGTTCTCTGTGGTAAAAATGTTGCTGGGTTTGTCTGAGGGTTCCAGGACCGGTCAGTGAGATGAAATGAAGCTTATGAGGACGATGCCGGAGGAGTTTGAGGGTGATGGTGGACATGGGGGGCAGGTTGGGGGGTGGGAGGACACACTGTGGATAGAGTCCTCACCATTCCTTGGGTAATAAGCCAGCTGTCTATGGGCAGCTCCTGATCTGCCGGGTTATCATCCCCTTTTACCCTCAGCTGAATCAACAACAGAATAACACCTTACACAAGAGAAGAAAGGCCCCACCACAGCATAGCACACAGCGCAGAGAGAGAGACAGAGGACAAGTCAAATGTGCAACAGACGACTGTCACTGAAAGCAAGGAGGGAAAAAAAAAAAGAGTAGAAAAAATGGTTCATTCCATAAAGATGAAAATGAGGAAAACAAAGAGGGAAACAGAAGAAACTTTAAACTCTGTCAGGGTAAAGTGCTTTGTAAGTCACCTGAGGTAGCTAAAAAAAAGTTCAATCACCAGTGTGTGTTGTGTTGGTTCAGGTTGCAGAATCATCTGTGTACCCAGTGATAACCAGCAAACACACTGCAATGTGTGCTCAAAGAGAAGAAATACTGCAATTAGCCTGTACGCTCTGTGAGAACGGACTGTGGAGACAGAATGGGAAATTCCACTTTTCTAATGGCTGATACAACTGTTCAGACTAATGTCTGCAAATTCAGAAAGTGGTTCTGGTTTCACTGTGAAATGGTTAAGTTTAGACATCTGGCACCCGTTTTCAATACTTACTTCATCTCCGTGCTTATTACTTGTATGGATACCATACAAACACACCACCATGTTCTTTAAGCTATTCAGAGCTAAAAACAGTCAACAGACAAAGTTACACCTTTCTGTCTGGTCCAAGTTCAAGTATCACTGCACACAGGACAACCGCTGAACATACAGGATTACAGAGCATCACATGCAGGGAGTGACCAGGGACCGAGGACAGACTGGTGCACAAGGGCTCATCGTCCATGTGAATCACACCACGCTACTACTCACCCCTCCTGCATTCTGTTGTCTGACATCCAAAGCGGAGGCCAGGCTGCCCAGAGCCTGAGGGTCTTCATATTTTACACTGTGCACAAAAACACAAACAGCAGAGTTAAGGCAGAACACCGAAGCTGCTTCTGGGGGTCAACATCTTAAGAGAAGAAACATCAAAAATCAATCAAAACAACATAACACACAGGGTAAATGAAGGAAAGACTTACATTAAAGATTTGTTTTTCAACATCCTGCCTTAAAAGCATAACAATTCCTGATATTTCTGGCCCGTTCTGATAATATATTTGTCAAACTAAAACATTTTAATTCCACAAATATCAGGACAAAATCAAGTGAATAATTTTCCAAGAGAAATTAAACAGGGTTTCAATGCTTTTCAGGCCAAAGACAAGAAAGACGGGAAATCTCCTCTTAAGAAAAAAAAGACAGTAAGATGCAAAGCGTTTGGGATGTTGCTGTTATCTGGTGCAAGCCCAAAGCAAGCAGACTCCCATCCTTTTGCAAATAAGGGAACAACTCCACAATGTGCTCAGAAACAGAGAAGCTCAATTTACACCTTTTTTCTGAACTGGAAACTTGCCTCCTCTACTCAGAATTTAGCTCTTTTATTCTTTCCAACTGCAGCACAGTTCTTCTATCAAATTAATACCCCTTAGGAATACTAAAGCCATTCCAGGAAATAAAAGAGGAAAATGATGCTCTTTAGAAGATGTAGAAAGCTCAGGTTAAGGGACAGCGCACACATTAAAAACTAAACTATAAAAAAATGTCATGCAGTGAGCAGTGTGGAACAAACAGCATAAAAGCGCCCAAGGGTGGACTTTAGTTTAAAATATTAAAGGTGGTTATGAACACCTATTTAATTAAAATAAATTACATCCTGAATAACAGCACGAGAGGACTGGGGCTATCCCAGGAGCAAAATAAAAGCCCAGGCCTACTTTTTGCGCTGCTCCGCCAGAGAGCTGCTCCTGGTCTGGGCAAACATGTCCAAATCGTCCTGGTTGCGGCCCGACAGGGAAGACAGGGTGCCGCTGACGCTGTCTGAAGCCACATCTGGAGCGAGAGCGGGGCAGGAGAGAGCAGGATAAGGGGAATTACATTACAGAAATTAATGATTTAGTCTTTATAACAACAGACTGGAGAGACTTTACAGCACTGAGCATCTAAGTGTACTGCACAGAATAAGAACAGGATGACATGTAAGCCTGAACCAGAACACTTCAGCGTGGAGAGAGCTCCTAAAGACCAGCAGGGGAGTTTGACCTGCTGCTTGCTCAGATTGACTGGATGTCTAACTCTAGGATGCACTGTGGCTGTTTTGGCTTTTTACAAAGACATATTTTCAGGT